TGGGGGATGGGGGTACTTGAGGCACAACCCCTGATAAAAGGGGGTTTTAGGGTCCTTTTTTGGAATATTTAAAAAATGTGTATGTATACAAAATGGTTAATTTAACAAATTTTGCTTTCTACTGTATATTTATAGATGTTTTTGCATAATATTTTTAATTTGTAATAAAAATTGTTTGGATCTCATAGAGAGGGCCTTTCCCCCCTTGACCCACATCTCAATTGGTGCTCATACTGTAATGGTAATAGTATTCAGAAGGTTGCCATTTTGATCCTGAGAAGATACAGAAGCTTTATGGTGGTATGAAACTGGACCCAGCTGTTTCATTGTAATAGTATTTTCTTCTAGTATTTACTATTTTTGTAAGGGAACGGTCAAAATCCTGGTACCTATCGTTACTATCTAGTGTCACCCGTTTTTTAGATAGCATCGTTAATTGATAGCTCAAGGACAAATGGCATCTGGGTCTACAAACAATCTTGCTTAGAATAGAACCACGAATCTTTAGATTTTAAGGCAAGCAAAAATGTTTATATGTTTAACTCTTCTTAACACATTCGTGGCAGCATGGGACCAACCGCTCCCACACTGAACCCTAATGTCATGGTGGGTGCGCTCGCTCCTAAGCTGCAATGATTTATTTTTAAGCCTGGATTAGAGCTAGAAATCTGAAACTTCCCACAGCACTGCTCAATAGTATATACTGTATATTTTATGAGGACGTGGGTTTGCATTGGATAGTGCATCTTCGACGGTAGGCGTGGTGCTCTCAGTAACTAAGTCACTAATCAGTGTCAAGGTTGAGCACTTGCACAACTGTTTTGATCGCTGTTTTGGAGTTAGTTTCTCTTGCAAAATGTTGGACCCAGATGATCCGGACTCTGTATTTAGTGACGGGGAAGGTGATTGGACAAGTGACGATGAAACTGACGTTATTAGTAAGAATGTGAGTGAGAAGGAAGATGTGATGTTAAACTTTCAGGGAGGATGGCCATGAGGTACACGGAAACGCCTGCCGCCACAAACGTGTTAATCTTTGGGCTGAAAAATAAATGGTCCTGGATAATGAACCAGCTGATCTTAGTAACAAAGCTGTCATCTAATTCATTCAACATTCATCGCTCACCACTTTGACGTGTCGACGTAAAAAATTTATCTAAGCTCATTGCTACTTTTTTTTAAACATTATTTTTCATGTTTAGTGGCACAAGAAATGCCTCAAAGAATGAAGTGGTTGTCCATCTTTTCTATGACGACCACATCACATCGCGACATCAACGGCAAACATCTTACGCTCAACAGCACCAGTTGGGTAAGTGTTTTTATAATTCCATTATTTTCTAATTCTTGTTTTACACATTATAGCAATAACAACTATCATTAATTTCCCTTCCTATGTAAAAAATAATAGCAGAACATTTTAGTATGTTGTTTGTGTTTTATATTCAATGTTCGTAAAAATATTTACATTCATAGATCCATTTATATTATAAAAAAAAAAATTCATATTAGATCAGATTCTGTATAGCCTAATTTACTCCATATTGGTGGAAAGTTTAGATACTAAGGTGTAAGGCAGGATAAACTTGAATGAGTTCGTGAACCAGCATGATCGGGCGATGGGAACGGGGTTTTATGGGGTAAAAAATAGATTTTTCTCATTTTTGACCCTCAAAACACAAAATTTCCCAATTTCTCTCTAGACCATTTTAAAGAGCTTAAATAGACAAAAATAATTGTACATTGAAGTGTTTATGTGCGGTTATTGATAACGAAGAAAATTAAAAAAATTGTAAATTTAAAATTCCCATGTTATTCTTATGGAGAATATTGTAGTTTGCTTGTTTATGGACATATTTTGATCAAACTTGGCAAATTTATTCATTGTATACTAAGCTATTAATATTTGAATAAAAAACACACTTTATTAGCCTCCCTGCAGCAGCAAACCTAGGTACACGTTTAACCTAATGTTATTTAAATGTACATCAATTCAGGCATGGAAATTAGTCTGCAGGTTTGCTGCGGCGGGGGTATTTATTACTTAATACTGATATTCTAATAATAAAAAAATTATAGTTCAGAGCAGTAAACATAAATGTAACAGAAAACTACTGACAAACTTTGTTTTTATGCATTTTACAGCAATGGTAGGAGGAATATTCGGACTGGTGTTAGGTTGCAGCGTCATCAGTATTATTGAGATGATATATTTCTACACCATCAGGTTCCTACAATATCTACGCTCTAGCACTCTACCGCATCCTGCCCTAGAGGAAACTGTGAGTCCGCAGAAAATAGTGAAACCTCCTACTTTAGTCAGACCATACAGACCCACAACAGGAAACAATAAACCTGCTACAACGGACTTCATCTTGTAGTGGGATGTGGTGAGACTATTAATTGTTTGCACATCTACACTACAGTCCAGCTAATCCAAACTATCTGGATAGGGTGTCCACTGTCCAGAAAACCAAGAACCTAATGAAAAGGTCTGTGAATTTTACAAGGATTTTGTTAAGAAAAGAGACATTTTAAATAATATTCAACAGTCTAGGGCCGAACATATACTCATAATTAGGGTTCTGTTGGTTCTCTTAAAGAAAATGAATGTTGAATAAGAAAACCAGATGGTTATGGGTGTTGCCCATAGTAATCCCGGTAGATAATAAAATTTGAATAAAAATATGAATTAATACAACCATGCAGAAAAGTAAATTAATAAAGCTTTCAATAACCGTAGTTTTACTTCCCTCTCCCAACTTCAAGGGATGTTTTTGGCTATTCAGAATCTACATTGTTTGTATTACCATTCCAAATATTAAATCCTTGTGTTTAAATTATTTATATTTAGCAATTGCTGAAGTTGATCCAGCGACAGCCTCAATGAATCGCTTCATTTTGTTGATGTAAAAAATCAAGTTCTACTACATTATTTGAATTAAAAACTAGCTAGCTCTTTGCCTTTGCTAAAGCAACCATTGGTCCAATCTTAGAATCTCTATTCTTACACACAGGTTGTAACTTTAGTGAATTGTGATTTAAATGTTATTTTAATTTATTAATTCTTCAGTTGGGATTTTATAAACTCACAATACAATACTTGCATTGCTATAAATAGCTGAGTGGACATAGTGCTCTACTTGTAATCGGAAAGTTACTGGTTCAACCCTGAGAACAAGTAAATTGACTTAAGAACCATCTGATCTTAGTCAGTAACAATGTTTCCATATAATTCATTCATACACTCATCCTTCATGACCTGCAAGGTTGGACAGACAGCAGTTATAGATAGATTATTTTACAGTGAGTTTATACTTTACAAACAAGTAACCAGAAAAAAATCTTAGTTTAAAAGCTAACAGATGGAATTAAAATGTTAAAATTGTTAACCAATCAAAAAGTCTAATTACGCCTGTTGATGGAAAGTGTGAATAACAATATATAATCCTCCTGCCATTCCTAGTAGTATTAATATGTTCATATTGCTCAGTCTTCTATACATTTTGGAATTTTCAAATATAGCCAGATCAACCTAACCATAGACTAACCAACACAAGTAGACTTCTCATCCCATTGTAAATTTTGAAGCACGTTTTTCGTGTCTAGTTCATGTACGTGACACAAAGGCGCTAGTGTCAATGCAACTTTGTTTCCATTATTTAGGGTTAATTTCTTAATTTGTGCTTTACTGTTTGGTTATATAACTAGGGGACAAGTTATTGTTTATGATTAGATCGTATTATTTGGTTAAACGAGGTTTTAAATGGCTGTAATAACGGGAAACAAATTGTAAACAAAACACGACCTCTGCATAAACCGTACATGAACTAACAATAAAATTGTCTTCAGCTGTTCCATAAGGATGAGAAATCTACTAAGGGAGTATGTTTTATCTATGACCTAACCCACCACATATCCTCAACTTGGCCAGAAGAAAATTATAATAAAAACTATGGTTATAAGATATGAGGATATATAAAATTAATAATTTAGGATGGCAAATGTGTTTATTTCTTCTGTAAAAAGACATGCGACCATTAGAAGTAAGTATAATATAAAACATTGAACAAAAAGAAACATGTACAGAAAAATAGAACTCATGCCCTATCCACATACAAATTAAAAATTAAGACACAATTTTTATTTATTAAAAAGGTGTTTTTATACTTAAAATAGGTATAATGTAGCTTAAGGGTGTTTGGTAAAAAATTTGATGTATTTTTTGTTATTGATCAATTGTACTAAAAATTAGAGATACAAATATATAAGACAAAATTATTTATTTTGAATATTAAGCGAGATATAGAGCTTGAAAGTAGTAAATTTTTCATCTTTGGTACAAGTACACAGGGAGAATGGGTAATGCGATTCTCACCACAATTGGCATTCGGGTGTGGAAAAATAAGATAATAATCACTAACTATTTAAAATTATAAATTTTTAACGTTTTTAAAAATTTGCTTTTTTATAAAAAAATTAAATTAATGTTAACTCGTTTGGGCTGTGAATTCGTACCTTTGATGCTTTGCGCTGTCGGAGCACTACTCGTTGAGAGTGTACGTACAGTAACACCGGGGCTTTAGAATACAACGATGAACGTATTCTTTCAATGTTAAAAGATGTTTATAATCACGTGATGTTAAAGCACTCTACAGCCCCGGTGTTAGTGTACACACTTTCAACGAGTAGTGCTCCGACAGTGCAAGGCATCAAAGGTACGAATTCACAACCCAAACGAGTTTACATATCACATTTTTTTAAATTCCAACATACAGATACATTTTTCCCAAAAACAAACAGCTATTTTTAAATTTTAAAAATTTTTATAAAAACTAAATTGAAAAAAAAAAAATAAAAATTTATAATTTTAAGGACAGTAGTAGTTAGTGATTATTATCTTATTTTTCCACACCTGAATGCCAATTTTGGTGAGAATCGCATTACCCATTCTCCCTGTGAACTGGTACCAAAGATGAAAAATTTACTACTTTCAAGCTCTATATCTCGCTTAATATTCAAAATAAAATTTTTTTTATATATTAGTATTTATAGTTTTTAGTACAATTGAACAAAAACAAAAAAATCAGACATGCAAATTTACGACCAAACAACAACACAACAAGAACTTACATTTTTAAGAAAAAGATGTTATTTTTGTCAAGAGTACGCAGACTAGTTTGTTGACGAGAGTGGGGTCTGACAATTTTGGGGTTGTTTAAATAATGACAAAACTACCAAAATGAAGGGACAGGAGCAAAAATGCAAAGGACCTGCAGCTAAAATAAGTCCAATAATATTTAACTTCAATGACGTTAAAAAGACTAATGGTAAAACACAAAACCTCACTTTAGCTGGGTTTCCTAAAACTAAACAGCCTTAAATTTGATTTCCAAAAGGGAGGATGCCTACTGATTTAGATAAACAGTGTGACAGTTGGGAGTTCTTATCAGTCCCTGTTTTCAACTAGAAATTGGTTTTTGAATTAATCATCAAACCAAAGACCTCCCCAAGGCTAGGTAAGTAAGCATTTTGGGAAAAATTAACACACATTTAAAAAATACTTCTTAGGAATAAATTTGCTTAAAAAAACCTAAGATAGAGTGTATTAGATAAATTATAAATTTACCTTACGATGTTTTACTATTTACATTCCTGAAAAATTTAATATCTCTAAATACATAAATTTTCAATATATTCACAAACAGAGGAAATAATGCGTTTTAAATCCTTCGTGTTAAAACATTACACTATTTTTACCAATAGTCATTAAAATTTGAAATCAACGGCTTCTTCTGTCTCTCCTTTCACGTTCGTGTGATGATTTAGAAGATGAGTAACCTCTATCATGACGCCTATGACTGCGATCATCATGATATCTATTATCAAGCTGACTCTCATGACGTTTATCATGGTAGGGGTGGTCTCTTCTGTTTCTTCTCTCTTCGTAATGATCATTTCTTCTGTCCTTCTCTGGGGAGTTGCGTCTACCTCCACTCATATCCTGCATACTCGGGTACATACCAGGGCTCATCATACCCATAGGATTCATACCCATAGGATTCATACCCATAGGATTCATCATACCCATAAGATTCATTGGGCCCATTGGACCCATGGAACCTCCCGCAAAAGGAGGCATTCCTAGTCCCATTGGTAACATCTGATTTCCCAATTGGAGCAGCTGTTCATAGTTGGCAAAACCTGGAACATTCTGCGTTTCTGAGTAGTTTCTTGAATCTCTACTTTGGCTAGAGCGTCCTTGTAGATCATTCCTCTTTGAATGACCGTTGAGTGAACTTTGTCCTCGCAATGCGTTCACTTCAGCCCATGACGAAGGTTCCTTGCTATCTTTCTCCTTATCTGAACGTCTTTTATCTCTGTGATTCCTTTCTTCTATTCTTGGAGGATGGACTTCTTGCTCAGTGAACTCTGTTATGTGAGTGTCAAGCACTGGAATGTGATGCAGTCTGCTACGACCAGACAGGTTTAAGGGTCTGTTAAACAGTTTCTCTCCTCTTAACAGTTCCAAAGCATAAGGCACAGAGCATTCGTGCTTAAAGACAATAAATGCAAACGATTTGGGTCGTCCATTTGGATCTCTTGGTCTTCGAACACTTTCCAAAGGACCAGCCTGCAACAAATTTTAACTAGAAATAGGTAGAAACCCCTGTAAAAAAACCCCCCAAAAAAGTGAAAAGTAACCCCCCAATCATAATAAATTCGTACATGACTAAGCCATATTGGTTGAAGGGGAACACCAATCTAAAAATTCTATCTCTAGAAATTTCCAAATTTTAGATTATTGTAAAGAAAATGGTTTGGGCATCATGTTTAATGTTTCCCTACTTTTTCCTTAGCATGTATTAGCCTAAAAAAAAAAAAAAAAAAAAACTGACAACTATGCACTGTTTTAAAGTATTATTATTGTTTAGGTGCGTATTCTAACCCAAATATTAATGATAAATAATTAGTGAAGACTAGAATGAGATGCCTTATTTACGTAGAGCCTTGTTACTGCCTAAGACCAGCTGTTTCATGAGCCAGGACCACTATTTATTGAAAACCGAATGAACAAGACAGCTGGTTCCAGTTTTAACTATCAAAAGGATATAGGTAGTAATGTAACAAAAACAACAGTTTTTAATAGCCTAGGGCCTACATGTTTTGCAGGTGTAAAGTAGTTCTTTACCCCCTAGGCTAATCATTTTTAGCCCCTGGCCCTAGGTAATAAAACTCAGTTGTAAACTTCAATTGTAAGCAATTGCATGTATCGTAATTATATTTCGATTTATTTAATCGGTTGTAGCTTATTGTTGCATTCTCTGGTTAATAGTTTGACATAACCATAGTATAATGTACACAATAATGCAATGATTAAATCACTTACTAAAATACTGCTTGTTTTTGCATTAGCGAAATTGAAAACAAGTTAGAATCCGTTTTGATAGGTTACCTAGATTGATGTTATAGATTGTTAATTTGTTTTGCAAAATGATGAAAAATATATAGTTGACTAAATGGCAAGTGTCTTTTTTAACCCTCTCTCATTTTCCGACCTCAGCTTAATCTTGGTCGTGAAACTTAAGTTTGGGTGGTGCAATATACAGTAAAACCCCTCATATCCGGCCTACATGGGACCGAGCTCCTGACCCAATAACATTTTGGCCAGATGAACCAACCTATTATTAAAAAGACAATTTGTATCTAATTACAACTATAACTTAACTTGTGATTGGTTAAAAGTAGTGTTTAAGTCTCTTTTGGGAATCTACTAGCTTAACTGGGTAGTGAAACCGAAACCCCGAAAAATGTATGAACAGGAAACAGACAAACCGTGAGATAGCTCAAATTATGGAGACTACATGTACAGCATGGGAAATATTTTTGGTATCGATTCCGGGAAGTGACGGGATAAACCGAGGACCAGGAATTCCGAGGCAGGATATTAGGGGTTCTACCTTACTATGAAGACCAACAACACAAAGTGGCATCACTGACAGGTACCTATGTAGGTACGGTACTTACATTGTGCACAGATTGACTGTGATTTTCTTGAAATTACCCAGTAATCCCAAAGTAGAAGTTATCGTGAAAATGTTTGAATAAAATAAAAATGTATAAGTTATTTGATTTTTAACATTGATTCCAAAACACCTAGAGAGTCAATAGACAAATCTGGACAGCAAAATCAAGGTGTTAAGTGAACTGGCAAACGAATTAAACCTTTTATTCAAAGTAGCTTGGCAATAAACAGCATGTAGGACAATATTACAAACTAAGGTACTTTGGTGTTATACGGAGGCCACATATTTTACAGCACGCTGCGGCAGTTATGTTAGGTTGGGGTTATCATAAATATGTTTGTAGGACTTTGCTTGTTTCGTTATGAATTCAACGATACCAGATGAGTCATATTTCTATAACCCAACCTAACAAAATCGACACAGCGTGCTGTATAAGAGTGACCTTCATATAATACCAAAGTACCCAAACGAAACTAACTAGGCTTCTTCAAGTAGCCTGCTGATACCAACCATGATTTAAGTCAGTCTGATGGTGTAAGTCAGTGTTCCATGACTCCACCGTAAGTGAAATAAACAATGGTTGGGAGGGAAAAGGGGACTGTATATAAATATTAGTAATAGTGCTATTTAACACGTTCGAGGCGGCATGGGAGCGATCGCTCCCACACGGAACCCTAATGCCATCCTGGTGGGTGCGTCCGCTCCCAAGCTGCAATGCAGTACGAAATGATTTATTTTTAAGCCAGGATTAGAGCTAGAAACTTGAAACCTCGCACAGCACTGCTCAATAGTATACTGTATTTTGCTGTGGTGTAGGTTGGTAGTAAATTTACCCGAAAATCCCCCTCTGGCAATCTCAAAAATCTACTTTTTGTCCTGCCGTTTTCCCTCCATTTGGCAATACAATTCCAATGGGACCGGCTATGTTCCAAGCAGTGCTGCTATCTGTAAGTGTTTAGCGATCTACATCGACTCTCGTCTTAAAGCAGGACATCCTCGCACGCTATTTACTATTCGTCAGCCCGAAATTGGAAAGCCAGTCACACGCGGCAATCGGGTTTGTTTGACGCTGCAGGCTGCGCCGCACTGGGGATACGCCCGCCATTTGACGTGCCGCCGCCAACGTGTTAACATTTTTAGTGTGAAAAACAGTTTTTGTTAGATCAAAAATAAAGTATTTTTGTGAGATCAAAAATAAAGTATTTTTGTGAGATCAAAAATAAAGTATTTTTGTGAGATCAAAAATAAAGTATTTTTGTGAGATCAAAATAAAGTATTTTTGTCACAGTGTCTACAGACATCATTGTGCGTCTAGTCACCAGTGACCGGCAATTTAGGATGTATTTTTTTTTTTTAATGGCTGGAAACACAGTTTGCGAACTGGGTCCTTATTTCTTTAAACAAAAGATAAGAGACCTACTGACATTTAACTGCACTAAATGTGTTTAAAGATCTTCTCATAAGAAAACCAACAGGACACTTTTTATGAAAGCTTTGCCGATATATAAATTGTTGGCGATTGTTACAAATGAACTGTCTTGGTTAGTCAAGCGAGAATATCCAAACCAAGATATCATTAACAAAAGGTCGACATTAGATAATACCAGGGTTTGGACTGTTCCCTTAAAAAAATAAATAAATGACACAAGCAAAGATATAGGCTTACATACTAGCCTATAAATCTTTATAAGTAGTATCATATCATTAAGTATCATCATTAACATAGCCTGAAATTAACTACTCGGTTCACTATCTTTACCATCCAAAGCTAACCTATCTTCAAAACACTTAATACAGCCTTAAATCCTCATAAAGCCCGACCTGCCTTCCTCACATACCTAAATAAGATGTGATATTTAGTAAACTAATGCTCTAAATCGTCCTGTAATCCAGCTACTAGGAGGTCTTGACATGGATATTTATAGGCATATACGTACTACACACTCTTCGAATCTCACCTGCACTTCGGAATAATATCTATGGGACAGCAGCGGATTGCTACATCCATATAGACTAAACTAAATACTTATAAAAATGGCGTTAAGAATCATCGAAAATCTACAACCACAAGATCATTGTAAACCATACTTAATCAAAAACAAAATCCTTAGCGTACCAAACTTTACATCCTTGAAGCTATTTAAACCTCCCAAAGCTTAGGGAAAACTTTCACAAATATAACTTAAGAAGCAAAAAAATAAACTACGATATCCAACAACGCAGATTGTAAAAAACCAGCAAAACACCACAAATCATGGGATCAAAAGTTTTTAAGAGTCCTTGGAGCCTAGACATAACTCATAAAACAATTTAAAAACTACAAAGCAAATTTCTAATCTCACAGGATACTAGATATTTGTATTACAATCACTTTGGTATTTGAGTGGCTGTTTGAAAATAACAAAATTAACATTGCTCTTAAATGGCGGACAAATCCAAGATGGCCGTTGGCTTCCATGTACTCCCTTGGAAATACATTCCAAACAACGAACAACATTTCTAATCTCACAATAACTTATTTACATTCTAATCATTTTGGTGTTTGAAAAACTATTTTTGGATGATAATTAGCTCTTCAGCAGCGGTTTGAAATCATCCAAGATGGCCGCTAGCCTCCAAGGACTCTTACTGCTCTCCCAGAACATATAAAACTAATAAAATCTACAAAAAACTTTTTTCAAAACACTCAAAGAATATCTAATCCAAAAACCATATTTCAAATTAGATGAGTTCTTCCAAGAGCACACTGCTCACCATAAAAACAGGTCAATAGACATGGTTTAGCCCCTGAGCTGACTAGATGACTAATATAATATATATAAATACCTCGTCACAGCTCTGAAGTTGCTGTATATTACAGCTGTTTCGGCATCAAAATGCCATCATCAGATACACATATCCACCTAAATTGGCGTCGTTAATCTGTACACACACACGAACACGATAAAAACATAAAAACACGTAAAACAAGGGACAGGCCTGTCGCGTACATGATTGCTACGAGTACGGAAGCTGACTGCAAAGCTGACTGGAAGCTGACTGTCAGCTTCCGTACTCGTAGCAATCATGTACGCGACAGGCCTGTCCCTTGTTTTACGTGTTTTTATGTTTTTATCGTGTTCGTGTGTGTGTACAGATTAACGACGCCAATTTAGGTGGATATGTGTATCTGATGATGGCATTTTGATGCCGAAACAGCTGTAATATACAGCAACTTCAGAGCTGTGACGAGGTATTTATATATATTATATTAGTTATAAAAACAGGCCCCAAAACAAACCCACAATACACCATACACACAAACACCAAACACTACAATGACACACCATTTCATAAGAAAGTATTCAAGTAAAGCAATCAGGGGCTTCAGCCAGGGTGGGGGCCTCAAAAGAATTTTTTTTTCTCGTGGAAAATGAACTTTGACGATAACTTAATTCCTTAGAATAAAGAGAGATTTTTAAGCCACACTTCTATTCTACTGATCCCCAAAAGATCTGCCCATTGAAAAATTGATTTTGAAGCGATAACTTATGCTAAAGTGATGTCGATTTTACCTGGAGACATGACAGCCAATGTTTTTTTTTTTTTACCTAAACTGAAGTTAACGAATTTTGCCCTATACCAGTAGAATTGCTCAATAACTAAAAAAAAAAAAAAAAAATTATTTAAGCCCTACCGGTAGTGTCCTAGGAATCGCTAGGGGCTCAAAAGCGCATTCTAAAAATCCGCAACGATGACATCATAGTTTAGTTCAAAATTCCTCCGTTAACAGCGTTGTAGTAGAGCACAGCGCGTAATTTTTACTTCACTGTTAGGCCTAGTTAATTATAAAATTAAGAAAGATTATAAAAGTAATTTTAAAATGTAGTGTTTCAATTATTAAATTAAACTGTCATAACCTAACCAAACGTGCTGATAATGAAAAAATCGAATGAAGGTTTACTAATCTAAAAAATAGTTTTGTTCATAAAATAAAATTATAAATGCCTAAAATTCAATTTTATAATTTTTTAATTATAAAATTAAACTGTTATAACCTAACCAACCAACCAAACTTGCTGATATGAAAAAAAATTGTTGACAAAAAGTTAGTGCTGCCAGCGGAATTCGAACCCAGTATCTTCGGTTTATCAGCTCGGTACGCTATCTACTACACCACCGAGGCCGATGGCTGAATACCGTATCGTTGCGGTAATGGTGTTCCCTCAAGAGGAGATCTGACAGCTCTACTACAACGCTGTTAACGGAGGAATTTTGAACTAAACTATGATGTCATCGTTGCGGATTTTTAGGATGCGCTTTTGAGCCCCTAGCGATTCCTCTAGTGTCCTAGCCTATATTTGCCAATATTCTTAACATTTGTACAATGACTGAATAAGTTAAGTAGGCTAACATTTAAGTTAGTCAATACTTATGCCTACCCAGTAGGCCCACCAGCAACATCTTTAAGTTTAAACTGTTTTCGACTTGTCTTCTTTATTTACAAAAGTAATATTTTAGTCTAACAATTTAGGGTTAAAAATATAAGTTTGTAATAACATAGGTATAGTATAATATAACATCAAAATAAAAAATTGTAAAATAGGCCTAGCCTAAATTTAACTGACAAAACTTTTTGTTACTTAAAAAACCCTTTGAGTGCCAACGTCCGGGGAACCGGACGTTTTTAAAACGAGCCAAAAGTGCCGACGTCCGGCCGACCGGACGTTTTTAGAACGAGCCAAAAGTGCCAACGTCCGGCTGACCGGACGTTTCGTAATGATCGAACAGTTGTCATAACAACCGAATGGATACTCGGATTCTTTTAACCCATATATTAACATTGAGTCAAAAGTTACTAGATGCGATACATCAATTTTCGTTGGTCGAAATATCGAAAATTCGATTTTTACGAAATTTTAACCTAAACATCGCCAGATCGCGCTCGGCATTTTTAGCGCGACCTTCGGGAAAAATCATCGGCATTTTTTGAGCGTTACTTTTATTTCTCGCCTGGCACTCTAAGGGTTAAAATCACCGAATCACTCGGTGAGAGTAATTTAACCGAACCAGGATAGAATAACCGAATTTTTCTGTTTAGCATAAATAACCGATTGATTCAGTTATTTTCATTCGGTGATTACCACCACTAGGCTATCAATCCTCCAATGTTACTTTGTTAGGCCTAGGCTATCTAAGTTATGTTAGTTGGGCTAACTTACTAGTCACATAAACTTTCAACCGTAAAATTTAAATACAGGCCTACCCTGTGAAGGGTTAGCAGGCATTTACATGCATTGAAGTGTGAACAAATGAAATGTTATTACATTAGCTTATCAACAAACCTGGAGAAATAGTTCATATAAGACTTCATCAGATACTTGGTCAGAGATATTTCCACACCATAGGGTACGCTCGTCGGACTCATCTCTGTCCATTCTCATCATGACTATTTCACACTTGCTAATAAAATAGCAACTAGATAATGTTACTAATTATTTAAGTTTTAAAATGTTAGAAACATTACTATTACAAATAAATTTCTAACCTATCTAGATAAATGTCATCATCAGGACAGGAGGGGAGGTGTGTAGTGTTTTTTTAAGTGTTTTTGACGTTTTTGATTTAGTGTAGTAGTAGTAGTGGTGTGGTAGTGTTTACATTTTTTGATGTTTTTCAAGCTTTTTTTGGTGGTTGGCTCGTAACAGTGCCGTCTAAATCTAGGCAACTACCCAACTACGTTGACTATAAACTAAACTTTACCATTGAGTATGTTCTAGGTGCATAGTAAAATGGTATGGTAACGATAATATTGACATTTGACTTAAGCAATTTAATGATATCTGATTTCTGTTTTGAAATTTGTTTTTTTTTCGGTTACGTTTATTTGTGCTGGCTCCGTGTTTAGCCCGGACGTGTTTGACGCGGACACCCTCAAAATGGTGGTGCGCGCGGACAGATGCTTTAGAAATCCCCGCGCCAAGGTCGGTTGGGTAATTCGGCACCTTTCGCCCCCATTATCGAGTAAGGACGCTCGGTGGCGTTTCCCTCACAACACAAAGATTTATAATCGTAACCAGAACTGGCCCATAGCTACCAGTGGGAGAAAAAACTTTTATTAATTCCATTCGGATTTCAAAAATGAAACATTACTATTATAAGACCTGTATAATTGCAAGCACGTTGCAATGTGCAACGGAATCTATACTATTATAAATTATAAATATTGGTTCTAGTAATCACTTTTAAATTTAACAATAAAATTTTAAAAAAATTGAAAGTAAAGTCTTTAAATTTTAGTATTACATCAAATATTGCACATGCTTATGAACAATGAACCTGAGCATGTTCCATAACAATTTACTTGATAATGATTACTTAGGTGTATATTTTACAATCAAAATTTAAACTTCACTTTTAGTCCTGAACCACGGATGGGAACAAGACTGTTTCATGATTCTCAGCCTGTATTTTATATACTGCTTTACTGCGGTTCCGGATTCTTTTAATTATGACACATCTATATACTGTATATTAACTAGGTGGCGTTTGCAGAGGCATTTACAAAATTGAGCGGAGTCATCAGGGTTCCATATAGTATATTGTTATTTACCTTCACCATTGAGCTTCATAATTATTTTTACCAACAATTTTAAGTGAAGGAAGAGAACGTTTGTGTAAAGATAGGTATTGGTGTAATTAGATACACGTTGTTCGTAATGAAGGGGAGTAAAAAACACAGATAGAGATGTAATTTTAGACATTTTCGGAGACCTGAATTTACATGTTAATTAAAAACCCTCAGGATTGATCATGAACTTATTCTAAAACAGAGCGGTACAGTTCTAGCTAGCTATAACCTAGAAATAAATCCTTAACAGTTGGTTTCGGATTCCACCATTTTGGCTACTAATTACTGCATAAGAGGACATGATGGTGAGTATATCAGCGAAACCACGAAATATATACGAAAAATATCGTTAAAAAAGTTATATTGACATTCACATTTGCATTGATTCAAGCGTTTAAACCATAAGAAAATAACCCATGTGTTCCACGTTAATAATTGTATAAGCAATCGGAACTGGGCTATAATGCCGTTATTTTAAATACAAATTTAATGTAGGTTAAGATAAGGTTCCCATCATAAATATGACATATTTAAGTAAATAAAATATACATGTTGATCTTTAGCTTATGTTCTTTATTTTCATACCTACTAATAATTGTTGTGGCACGTGATGCGCCAATGTTTTGGTAATAATACAAACTAACACTTTCAACTAAACTATGATTTTATTGATGTAGATATGATATAAGAAATTATATCAGTGGACTGTATAGTGAAACTGTAATAAATTAATTTTTATAATGAAACTACTAAATGTGGATTAAGAGTCATAATTTAAGACTAATGAAATACGTGAGATGCTGAAAGAAAACAATGTTACTCGGCTGACACGACAATCAGTAGGCTACATGATCACATAGACCACAGACCACATAGGACTACCACCCCACGGTCCTAGATAGAAAAGGAGTTTTTGTGACCGTATTTGTTCTTTACGCAGAAGGACGGTCTCAACTGCTTTGTAGGAAGCCGACTAATTGCCCTAGCAGAACGAATGAGTGGTTTATGCGATCGTAAACAACTCTAGATGTTTGACAATATTTGAAATTTAGAAACGTAACTATCTCCTAACAGCATAAATATACCCAACAGATTAATTAAATACACTCTCCCCAACAACGATTGTTTCAAGCAAAAAATACTCATAAATAAAAAATGTTTGAATGAACAGTATACAAGTATTTGACAAAAATCGTTTACCTAACCCACCATGTTAAACTTCCCTATCTTAAGCGTGATGTATACAACTTCCTTACTTCTCGAGTGATGTAAAGTATCAAAAAACACACTCGGTGATGTAATGAAACCCATTTAAATAACATTGAGTGGATAACTTAAAAAATATAACTCTATGGAGCCAACGACGTTTAACGCTAGAAATCAGCTGTGTGCTTGAATTTTATTGTTATTGTTATGTTTTGGAGAATTTTCCTAACCTAGCTTTTGTTTGTAAATGAACCTTACTGTTATAAGATGAGTGAAATGGGTAATGAAAAATATTGTTCGTAACCTCCTGTATATTGTCGGGTCAGGTCACCGGAGGACTTTTATTACCGGTATTGGTGAACAAAAATACTTTATTTTGACACGTCGTTTGTAAAAATCCGTCCATTATTAATGGAGGAGTAGTGTTTCGTAGAAATTGCCTTCACGTATTACATATAAGGATACTATTATAAAGAAGAGGTGGTGTCTGTGTGTTTGTATGAGATAATCTCAAAAACTACTGAACCAACTGGGCTCAAATTGCACACAACTGTAGCTACAGCTCCGAGGATACATATAGAACTATTCCCGCTTCGATATTGTCCTAGGGCTCTGCCCCGTGGGCTTTCAAAAATTTGAGGTGAGAGATTTAAAAGTAAATATTGATTGATGGTATCCATGGTAACAAAGAACAAACCTCAAAAATGTAAACAAGCAGAACTAACAAACTGTCAAATGGATTTTGATTTCACAATGCCACACAGCTGGTTCAAACAAATTAAATACTGCACGAATGTTAGAACAGAGAGGGTAAGGATTATAAATTTAAAATAATGATGTCACTAGCCCTATTGTAAACATTATTTAACATTACTTAAATGGAGCTGTCAAACCATAATATGTTAATGTGATTTCATAAGTATATGATTCTTTCAGTTACTTCATTTGTTTATGTTTATGATCTATTATACTGAGTCTGTTCTAATATTTGTGAAATGCTGTAATAATGTTTTACTGGGAAATAATTTGTTGTAAAAAAAAATCATTTATAGATACCGGTATAGGAACTAATTAATATTCTATAATCATTGCTGAATCAACCTAGGCCCTTATCGTGAGCTTTATGAGGTTTATTTCTTTGAATTATTTTTGTGTAAACCAGTAATATATAATCCCCCTGCCGCAGCAAATCTATAGACTGAGCGAATTTCCATTTGCCTGATTATAATTTCACAAAAATATGTTAGAAAATTACCCATAATTTTCCATATTTATTTATATTTTCCTTTTTTCTATTTTTTTGGTTTGGAACTATTGTGATAGCTTTTCGTTTACAGTGCAAACCATTAAACACATTCTTTTATTATTACCTTTAAATCCATCATTGGTTTTGTATCGTAGGTAGGCCGAGCCTAAATAAGTATTAAGAGTATGAGTTAACAAAAACGTACTATTATCAAGTTAAGTAATACAGTTAAATTTTGTTTCTAAATTAAATGGTAGGAGTGAAACCATTTGGCATTTTCAAAGAACCTATGTGTATCTTTTGCATACTGACCCCGTTGCAAGGCACGGGTCGGGTATAGCTGCTAGCAAATACGAATAGTAGCGCTGATTTGCAGTAGTAGTTCAATAAAATAACAAGCGACCGGCTGACCGGCACAACTAATTGTGACCAACGGGATTGATTTATTTAGTATCTTATATGCATTAGAAATCATGTACTACTACAAAGTCTTCTTTTTACATCAATTACAATTCCATAATACCCCCACCGCAGCAAACCTGCAGCCAAATCAAATTTCCATTTGTGTGGCTTTATTTTCAATTCAATCTAATTCAATAACGTTAGGTTTAACGAGTACCTAGGTTTGCTGCCTACAGGGAGGGTAACGAAGTGTGATTTTTAGAAAAATATTATTAGCTTAGTATGAAATAAATAAATTTGCTAAGTTTAAAGAAAATCTATTCATAAACGAGCAATATTACAACAGTTTACTTATCCGACTAAATATTATAAGTAAGAAAGTTTAGATGTATATGGATGTATGGATGGATGGATGGATGGATGGATGGATGGATGGATGTTTGTGACAAGTAAACGCGAAGAATACTAAACCGACAAGGTTGAAATTTGGTATGACGATAGCTGACATTCCCGATTAACATATAGACATATTCTTACCTCAAAAATCCTTTCAGGCTCCACCCCAGTGGCTCTGGCCATGGAGTGCCTCATGTTAACCTTATGAGTATTCATATTTAAAGAAATTAAAGAATTTTGTCAGCCTTTTCAACTGCACAAGTTGGTTCTATGATATTAAATAGCATTAAAAAGTTATAAGGCTTGCCAATAGGGTACAGCACTATTATGTTTTTTGCATTTATGACCACAGCTAATTTGAACCGACTAGCAACAAAAAGTTGTGGTACACAATGAGAACTTTACTTTTTTCCATGGTTTAGGTGCAGTGGTAGAACATTAGGGCTATGGTAGATGTGTGTTACACTATAGGATACCGTATAAATTAAAAGACCAAATTGTCTTAAACCGCGTCTTTCTCCCATAACTGCAATAAACATTTATACTTATATGCAAACCCCGTACGAAGGACGGGTACTCTGCTAGTTATAGATAAAACATAGTCTCTTAACTATTAACCTACAAAATCAGAGCTATATTGCTTAGGTAGTTTAGGTGTGGTTGAAAGAACTGGGCGCTGGGAGGCAAAACGCGA